TTGTCACTCTCCGGACCCTTGCCAATGGCTTCATAGACGTGAATGTTACGGTTTTCCGTGAAGACTGGCTTGATCTTAAACTTGGACAAACGGCCGAGTTCCAGCTGGAACGCCAGAGCAGGCTCGCTGTGACGGATGCTCTCATCCTCCTCGTAAGTAGGTCCTCGGAAAGTGTAGTAGCCTGGGTAGATGCCATTCTTGCCACAGATAAAAGTCACGCGGCGGATGCGACGAGCAAGCAACTCATCCTTGACATCAGCCAGAATTGTATTGATTTGAGATACAATCTGTGTATCGTCTAGGTCTTCAACATCACGGACAGCGACATTGCAAACACCAGTCAGCTCGTTGTCGCTTTCAATTCGAGGGGCCGGTCGACGCTTGCCCTCCAGTGTGGCAAGAAGGCCATTATCAGAAGGCTTCTTTGCCTTTGAGCCAGCCCGAGGGAAGACCTCCAGGGCTCTAGCCAGGTATTCCTCGGCATCCTCCAAGTACTGAACTGGGAGAAGGACACCCTTTCTGGTAGGCTCGTTGCTTCCATCATTAACCAGATAGGACATGTCACTGATGGAGTTCAGCCTGCGGAAGGGGTTGCTCTCCGCTGTCGGGGTGCTTGGAGTGGACGGGTGCGTCGACGTGACGCCGCCAAACTCAGGTTGTCCAAGCTTATCAAGCGTGAAGTCCCACGAAAGCAGTGGTGGCTCGCCGGAAGAGTGATACTGGATGCCTTTCAAGGTGTAAGCACGGTAGGCACGGCGAACATAGACCTCGAGAGCAGCCAGCGTGACCCAGGCATCTTGATGCACGAAGAATCGAGGCAGCACATCGAAAACAGTGTACTTCGAATCGACCACCTCCTTCAGCACGCCGAAATCGGGTTCGCGATGGTCCCAACCGGTCTCACCGTAGCGCGACTCAACAACCGAGGAACGCAAAATTAGTTCCATTTGCGAGAGGCGTTCCTCCAAAGAGGGAAGAGCGCACTGGATAAGAACCTCACGTGCCTTCAGAGTGACCTTAGCGGCGGATCGGGATTCGAGTTCTGTGAGTTTCTGGAGAATCGGCTTGAAGTGCTTGCTAACGTTGCCGACGCCAGGTTGGTTGGGACGGTACATTGCCAGAATGGCAAGGATCAGATTATTCTTGGCACCAATGCGACTGTGGGAGAGTACAGTCTGGACAACGCTGATGATATCATCCTTATGCTCGTCTCTGAGTTTCAGGATAGCATCTTCGTCACGAGTGTTGCGACCAGAGAATAGCTTCTCTACCTCGTAGTACTGCTCCAAGAGTCCAATGAAGACATTGAATTCGTTGGTCTTCAGTCCATCGATATACTTGTTGATGACTTGCTCCAGAGGCAAGAGGGTTGTTCTCAGGATTTCAGCGTCTGCAGGATTGAGGTTTTCTTCGATAAATCGAGTAATAGTCTTCTGAAGCTGCTTGGCCGGGAACTCAGTCTTGCGGGCGCGTGCACGATCGACAATGTTTTGAAGCTGAGTGTCCAGTCTCTGAGGCATACGAGAGTGCAGAGCAGAAGATTGAGCATTCCACTCTCCATAGGGAAGCTCAGGATCCCGGAGGACTTCCACAAGCTCCTTGAGCGTGGTACTCATGATTACTTGGTTATCGAATCCTCGCAGAATGTTTTCCAGGATGCTATGGAGCAGGAAGAACCTCTGTGGAGGCTTGTTACCTACAACCTGGGGAGGGCCAAGATCCGGCAACTGCCCGGTGAACGGTTGTGCATGTTTGACACGGGAAGGATCATCTAAGGCGAGGATGCCGAGGATATCACCGGCCTCCAAAGTAGCACCAGGCTGCTTGATCAATTGCACAATTCCGTCTTCCTGAGCGATCAAAGGCATGTACATCTTCATTACCTCAACCTCAGCGAAGGCCTGACCAGCCCGGACATGTTCACCATTCTCAACAGTGAACTTGACGAGCTTTCCGGGAGATGGCGTGCGGAGCTGTGTCGGGTCGTTCTCTTGCTCTAGCAGGCAGGTCTTACCGTCGACACTGAGGCGCGTCGCAGCCGCTTCCTCCTTCCAGTAGACGTTGTGACTGCGACCGTTGAGGAGGACCAGCAAGCCACCATCGGCCAGCGCACGGACGCCGACAGAGCATTTAGATCCGTTGATGAACAGGTGGTAACTGTCCAAGCTTGCCCTAGTGGCGGTGAACTTGTAGCGCAGACCTTCGTAAATGAAATCAACAGGGAAAACGGTCTTCAAGACGTCCTTCGAGGGCACCTGACCCTTCTCGAGACCCTTCCGATACTCCTCCACACCTGCTTCGCTGGCCTGGTGTGCCTTAGTAACCGCACCACACAACACGGCAACAATGGGATCAGGGCGTTCAGCGGTAAGCTTGTTGGTGATCAGCTGATCAAGCCATCCAGTCGTGATTGTGTTGTCCTCGAATGCAGGGGTTTCCAGTAGCTTAATCAAGTACTCCACAGTCGTCCGGAAATCACCACGGATACTCAATTCCTTCAAAGCGATAACCATGTGTTTCCGTGACGCAGAACGATTCTCACCATAGGCGAAAATATGACCGAACTGACTGTCTGAGAAACTGTGAATACCTCCAGCCGTACCGACAGAGAAGTAACCCCAAACATTGGACGAACTGCGGAAGTTCAGTTCGTGCATGGTACCACTGGAAGGCTTGAAACCCTCGCCTGGATCTTCGGAGGTGATACGGCAAGCAGTAGTATGTCCCTTAGGTTGCGGGCGACGCTGCGTCTTGTAGCTTTCTTCGTTGGAGAAGTCGAAGTCAATCTCGGAAGACGTGTTCGGGTCCACACCATAAAGCAAGCGAATATCGCGAATCCGGTGCAGGGGAATACCCATAGCAATCTGAAGTTGCGCAGCTGGCAGGTTGACACCAGAAACCATTTCAGTTGTAGGGTGCTCGACTTGGAGACGAGGGTTCAGCTCCAAGAAGTAGAACTTGTCATCTGCATGCGAGTACAGATATTCCACGGTACCGGCTGACACGTAACCAACCAGCTTTCCTAGGCTGACAGCTGCACGCTCCATAGCCTGGAATGTTGCAGGCTTGGCGATTGTTACGGGAGCCTCTTCAATGATCTTCTGGTGTCGCCGTTGGACTGAGCAATCTCGGCCAAACAAGGAGATGTTGTTGCCGTACTGATCGGCCAGCAGCTGAACTTCCAAGTGGCGGGCATTTCCAGCAAGCTTCATGATGAAAATCGGGGATCCAGGGATTTCATTTGCGGCGGCATTATACAAGTTAACGAAGTCCTCTTCACTTTCAACCTTACGGATACCCTTTCCTCCTCCACCTTCGGAAGCTTTGATCATCACAGGGAAACCAATTTCCTTGGCTTTCTGGAGACCTTCCTCCGGTGAGAAGGTGCAACCGCGGTTGTAGACCTCATCGTCAACAGTGACAATGCCCTTGTCGTCGACCTTCACGTCATCGACACCAGTTCCGGACCATGGGATGCAAGGCACACCAGCATGTTGGGCGACAATTGTGGACGAGATCTTATCACCCAGTGAGCGCATGGCCGAGGACGGTGGTCCAATGAAAAGGATTTTCTTGGGAGAAGCAGCGAGAGACTCAGGTAAGCGGGGGTTTTCAGAAGCATGACCCCATCCGGCCCACACGGCGTGGACGTCCATTCGTTCGGCAACATCAACGATCAGCTCGACGTTCGCATAGTTATTGTTATTTGTGCCCCCCGGAACCTAAAAAGTCCGCTGTCAGCGCAAACATCGCAAGTGTAGCCTTCGACCATTCCATACCTCAACATATTGGTCCGCCATACGGATATAATCAGCATTTGCCCGCAAATCTTCTGGCGTTGCCATCACCGTAAACTGAATCGCACGTTCATTGCCGAATGTTTCGTAGGCCCATTTCCGGACCGAACGGATTTCTTTCACAGCTGCGATACCATTGTTGGCGATCAAAACCTGTGAAAGACGATCTTATTAGCTTCAGATGTTTCCTACCAATACACGTTCCAGGACATCGTGGGTTGTTCTCACCGAACTAATTACTGAATGGCCGCCATGCTTGGCCACAAAGTCTTTAACACTGCTCGGCGCTGCAGCTTCAAGGTGGTTACCACCGATAAAATGTGAGGGAAGGTTGTATTGGGTCGTCGAGGTTCCGTTGGTGATGGCCATGATGAAATCAGTGAATTATAGATTATACAATTCCCATGCGAAATATTCAGGTAAAATGTCTAGAATGGTAGAGGTATAATCGAGGTAGGACTCAGGGCGTAATCAGCGGGGAGAAGAGAGAGCTGTAGAAGTGTCTGGATCGTAGTGGTACACGTGCTGAGTAGGGGAGATTAGAATATGAATAACGTAAGAAAAGACCCTCTCTGGAGAAGCAAATAAGCCTCCACACGGCGTCAGAGAAAAGAAGTCGTCAGAAGAAGGGGGGCCACAACAAAGTAAGATGAAAGGTTGTCCCCTAACTGTGAGGTGAGAAAGTAATGTCAGCAATCAAGTCTGGGTACGAAGAGCGAGAAGTACGGGCAATAAAAAAAACCAGAACATGGATGGAAATGGATGGATGGGTGGCCTGGCCTGGCCTGGGGCGGCCAACGTCGCAAACGGCAAGTGGCAGTTCTGGGAACCGCGCAGGGCACCAGGTACGGAACGGTAACTTAAAGGTAGTACTCCGTAGTACCTATGTACCGTAGGTATGTACTCCGTCTCTGTACCGAGTGTAGTGAGGGAGGTTAGGTACGGGAGATCTTACCGCTAATTACCACCTCAACAATATAGTAAGGGATTGAATAAAGAAGAAAAAGGTGAAAGAGGTCCGGAGTATGAGTAGAAAGCAGGAGAAGAGGGGGGGAGAAGGGTTATATTCATTCTCGTCCTTATTTATTTTTATTTTTTTTTTCTTTTCTATTCTCAATGTATCTAGAGGTTCAGTTGTCGAGAAGCACTAATCAAGAAAGGGTTTAGGTAAAGAAACCTGAGTAGGGAAAAAAGTAGCTGTGGGTCAGCGCCAACTTGGGAACAACACCCCAACTTCTTCCCAATGCGCTTGTTGGGCCCCATGACGTTTACTTCCCACCACTTTTTCTTTCCTTCATCAACATTCTCTGCGATCCAATCAGCTGCCCGAAGTGCACGGCGGAACTAGAGATGATTGCTACTACCTACTATGACTAGCCAAGTTTTTAGGTAGTAGGACTCCATTCCAGACCCGATACCAATCAACGTATCGTGATTACTCTTGCCCTTATCTTAGTGTGCATCTGTGATATATAGCCTTTGAGACCACTCTCAAAACCATCACCGCCTCATGATAGCAACCCCTAAGAAATCCTCTAAAAAAAAATTGTAAAACTAGAAGGGAGAGAGGCGTATCCATTGAGTTAATTCTAAGCTCGGAGTCATGAATTAACCAGGCAAGAAAACCTGTAAAAGTCCGTGCTAAACATCCAATGCGAAGAACATGGGTCTCGGCATTTGTATGCCACCTGTACATACTCTCCATCCTCCTATGTCGCATTGGTCATCAGATCTGAGTCCAAGCCCTAGTGATTTATTGCTACCATATTAGACTACTATATTGGTCAACTCCGATACCCCTACAGTTCTACATCTGTGCTCTAGATGGCAGCACGTGCCTTGTTACCAATATAAATCGCGACGACCCGATAATTTTTAACCTGGTGAATAGACCTGGTACAAGTGATTATACTAACATGCTAATTTTGCCGCCTCGCAGCATTCCCTTCGTTTCGCCCTACGGATACATATCCCGACACGCCTCAGTAATCAATACAGGGAGGTGGAGAAAAACTTGTAGCGCGAAGACTTTGTCACGTATTCAAACGACTAAGGCGAGAAAAGAAAAGAAAGAAAAAGAAAAAGAAAAGGAAAAGGAAAAGGAAGGGGAAGAATGAAACGAATGATATGCAAGAGAGGAGAAAAAAGAGAGAGAGAGAGAGAGAAATGCTTCCTAAAACTCAAGGAATACAATTCAACCTACATGCAGCACGGGACCATATTCGCTGACGTGGTGCTCTTTCAAACGAAGAGGTAATAAAAAACTAGTATGGAGTAGAGAGTATATCCTCTGCAGGAGTACGGAGCACGGAGTACTAGACCACTAGATCTCATCCACTAGGCCAAGGCTTTTCAAAACTAGGACAGAAACTAACCTTATTTGAACAGTGTTGACGTCTGAATCCAATCCCGACCAATCTCGGGGGTTTGTCCCGTTGGGACCGAAATGATCGCCCTCATCAAACCCTACCGCTAGTTCTTCATGTTTGCCCAATACATATTATCCGGGGCCTGTCTTCCGAATACCGACGGAGCCCGACAGTTCGGTCTTCGGGGCCTCTTATCGCTCACACTCCTATGGAAATAAATGTTGGGTGCTTCTTCACAATTTGACAGTAGGAAATGAAGACTTGGGTTTCGAGAGAAAGGTTCACCAACAGCGATGATGTTTGCGAAGTTCTAGAACAGAGACCCTAGATGTAACTGTACGGTACCTGGCGCAACACCCTAGGGTTATTCTTCGTTAGTGACATTCCGAACTCCACGGGGCACCTTTCTGTCACTACGTAGTAGGCACTGCTAGTTGTCAGGTAACCAGAATAGAACACATCAACTGTCAACCATCGCCGCGTTTGCAAACTGCCTACACTATATATGACATGTCACAGCACCTAATATCCGGGATATGGATATTCCGTGGATACTGCCTGATCCCGTTGATCATTATCTTTTCGCCACAAAGTCGTATCTCTGCGGGCTTCTACTTTGTATACTTCATAATAAAATATATAAAGAAGGGTGGGGAAGAAGCGATGTTAGGGGACAGCTACGACAAACTACTATGCTTACAGGACCGTTTCATCAAACTATAACTGGGTATTGTCTAACGCCTAAGGCACACTGTAACGACGCAGAAGAAATATACAGCAAAAAGAAAAATAATGCTGAGTCACAGCTTGGACGCCGATGGGGCTCCCTGTAGGAAAACCCCCGGCTGTTAATCGAAGCGCCATCGAACCGGATACACTGCCAAACTCCGCCTTTCACCGAGACTGACTGTACAGGTTATGATGACCAAATGTGGTATAATCGCAGCAGTAATGTCCAGGGGAATCCTTGAATCTATGAACAACTGGCCCAAAAACAAGTCCTCCCGTTGTACCCAAATCCCTCGTGAGAGCTTGCATTTTTGCAAAAAGGGTAGTGATTAGGAAATAAGAAAATGATAGACGGGACAAGGAAAGGTAAATAAGATATTGCAGTCTGAATGGTAATCTGAAATGTATCAAGCGCGCGTACCAGCCGTGAAATCGTGACGCCCTTCGGAGGTTGCCCTAACGTGTATCAAAGGGTAGGCAATAGAAGGAAGAGGTAGTGAAAAATTCACATAGGGCTTAGAAAGTTTCGCCCAAATCGGTAGTGGTCTTAGTCTTCGGATCGGGCGGCCCCATTTGACCCTCCCGTCGATCAAGTCCCGTGCTAGTGCGAAGGCTTCGAGGCGCAGGGATGGATGGAATTCCGCTGGGGGTGCGCTTCTTAAGCCCATTGGGGGTGGAAAACGAAGGCAGACGAGTTTCGCGGACCTCACTGATCTTTGCCCGCATAGACATGTGCATAGAGAGATCCTCGTCTTCGTCAATATGAGACATGCCGTTTATGGGTACATTTTGTCCCGCCGGGTTGCTAAGCGATGACCGCGGTCGCCGACTTTCAGTGGTTGGATTTGTCGAATAATGTCCCAGTGGCGTTTTGGTCCGACTCTGGCGACTTTCAGGTCGAGTCGAAGGTGCAATACTAGGGTGTGTGCTGTGGCTGAACGAACTTGAGTAGCTTGTGCGGCTGCTTGGCCGACTGTTAAATGATGGTCGACTGGTCGAGACATATGATGAGACACCGTCGCCGTGAATTGAGGAGCTAAAGCTGCTGCCACTTAATCGTTTACGAGGCTCCCTGCGAACAGTAATTGTGGAAGCAACAGGACTCTCGCTAACTATTGACCCGGAGCGAGAAGAGACCCGAGATGGTGAGTCAGAGGGTGCCGGGAGTTTCGATTTGGCCGACTGAACCCTTTCTTCCAATTTCTGCATTTTGCCGATCAGGCCACGAATTTGATACAATGAGCCTGACTTGGGCATCCCGGACGACCGAGTGCTGTTGTTACTGTTGGTGGATTTAGAAAGGCTCGGACTGGGCCTGGAGAAACCGGGGCTGGGCCTGGAGAGACTGGGGCTAGGCTTAGAGAGACCGGGGCTGGGCTTGGATAGGCTCGCGCGGGAAGTAGCTGATGAAGTTGAACGGCCATTGCTGTGTGCCGAGGACGTTGCGCGAGAGTGGGCGTGGGATAGTTTCTGAGTCCTGGATCCATGCAAAGATCGAGAGCTATATGACTCGGAACCGGAAGCCTTTTGCCGAGGGAAGCTATGCAAAGATCGAGAGCTATATGACTCGGAACCAGACGCCTTCTGTCGAGGAAACCCAGGAGTCGCATTGATGGACTTGCGCATACTGGTGGACGACTCAGATATCGGCGGCGACGGCGGGGTTGCAGTCGCGGCTATTAGTGACGACTTCATTGGTGGTGTAGCAAAAATAGGAGATGACACAGTCGACAGTCCTGGAGAACGGCCAAATATTTCTGGAGTCTGTGGTGTGGATGGAGTGCGGTGCAAGGGAGCTGGCTTCCTGCGTCGGCCACCGTGGGATTCCGCATTCCGGAGTTTCTCCTGTACAATCTCGGTTTCGACCTTCAGCTCAGACAATTCAGTACGAAGATGCTGGTTCTCAATTCGTAGATTCTCTCGTTCCTGTTCTCCAATTTTGATCTCCTCTTCTAGCAATACGCTTCTCTCAATGGCCATGTTGTATTTCGACTCCAAATCCTCCAGGGATGAAGTCGTATGACGAGCCTGGCGTTCATAGTCATCGTTCGCGACTTCGATGTCACGTAACTTTAACTGTAAAGTCCGGTTGGCATCTCGTAGTGTTGTTATTTCCTTCTGCAGGGTATTCTGAGCGGTGTTGGCTTCTGATTTGGACTGCTTGTACTTGGTCTGCGATAGAGCGACAGATTAGCACTTTTAACGGCCACTGTAGAGCGTCTTAAATAAGGTAGTATATGGGCTCACCTTCCACTCGTCAACCTCGTATCTCAAGTTGTCCACCTTCTCTTTCAACTGACGCTCCCGCTTTTCAGATGCCTCAATGTCCTTCTCCAGCTCCGCTTCCAACTCACGGCTGGAGGACTGAAAGTCGGCCAACTCTGCTTCTAGCTGTTCATACTGTTTCTTGTAGTATGCGAGCTCATCCCGGCTCGAGCTGGTCCCGTTGGGTCGAGAGGAGGTGGAATCATCGGCCGATGGCATTATATTCGCGCCGGCGACTGACGCCGGGGAAGGAGGCGCACGTTCCAGCAAACCACGTCAAAAGATGCCACTGCTGAAGGAATACACACTCAACCAAGACGTTGAATGGTACAGTATATTTCACAAATCCAGCCCGAGATCATTCACAGGAGCCAGTGTTAACAACTGGGTGTCCGGTCGTTATAGTCGTGGAGGGGCCGAGGCGGTGTCGCGATAGTCGGGTTGCGACAGACGTTCGGGCGGGAAAGGAAATAGAAGTAGAAGTAGAGGAAAACAAACAAAAGAAAGGAAAAAAAAAAAAAAAAGGTTCACTGAGACTGAAACAGTCTCAGTAACTTGACTTACCTGTAAGCGTCCCTCACAGAGGGGCAAGAGGGTAAGGGGTTGTGGGCAATGTTTTGGGGGGATGAAGTAAAGGTGCTGATGCTATCCAGATGAGTGGGCAGCAGATGCTGGGCCGTGTCCACGGGACAACAGTACGGGCCCATACGGGAGAATCATAACAACCAATACCACTAAGCTCAATCGGGTCTAGCACCATGACAATTCAATTCCACCGCCTGCGGCTGTGCGTCTTCCGATGATGATCTGTGAGTGACGGACTCTCTGGGGCAATCGAATGCCTCTGGCTTGTCTGGGGCCTGTTTGAAGATAGATCGATTTCGACTTAGATTGTGCTCGGGTGAGTTTGTTCGTCCCTCATCCCATCTCCCATCGCCCGGACTAGCTCGGGTTCTATCTCCCTCAGTCCCTGTTGCCTTTAACCCCCCCTTCCCCCCTTACCAACAATCTATTGTCCTCTTGGAGATCCGCCTCCCGGCTGTCCCCAGAGAACGTTCGCTATGTCCACGCACGATTTAGCTCCGGGTTCACTTCTTATACCATGGATTGCTTCCACGCACTTATTTAGTTCAAGCGTCCGATGTGCTTCATGATGCCCCGTTTTTCTTTTCCTCCGCTGAAAGCTTCATTGTCGCTTTGTATGACTTTGCCGACAATGCTGACGCTTCGTTTCAGACCTCCTCTATCCTACAAAGATACACGGTTTGTTATCATGGCAGACCCCACCGACCTGAATCTCGACGCTCCGAGCGATCTTCAAGATATTCCAGAGATGTCAATGCAACTCCTTCCGCCTCCTGAAGGAACATTTCCTGACAAGTGAGTCTACTCGTTCGTCCATTTGGCTTGGCGGCGGAGATCCCCGCATTGGTATGATGGTGGAGGTGTATACTTATGCTGTGTGACATACGAAGGCCAGCCCTTCTTGCATCAGTGCAGGCACACGGCAAAGCGCACGGGTACAATGTTGTTGTCAAGTCTTCTAGTACTCCCACTGAAAAGAAACCCGGGCGGACTGCAAAGGTATGGCTCAGATGCGATCGGGGCGGACACTATCGTCCGCGCAACGGCCTCACCGAGGAGACGAGGAAACGGCGGCGAACGTCGCGGTTGATGGACTGTCCATTCATGCTGGTCGCAGCAGGAACTCCTGGCATTTGGACGCTGACCGTTCTAAACCCAACACATAATCACGGCCCAGTTGTCGAGAAACCCCGGCAAGCTCCTCATCACAAGGTTCGAAAGGGCCAAGTCGCGGCGGCACCGTATGATTGGCCGCACGACGCGACTTTAACGCCATATACGACTGCGTTAGTGATTATCGATATGCAAAAGGACTGTATGTACTCTCGTCCCGCTATATTCTCTTGTGAATATCGCTCGCTAACGAAACACATCACAGTCTGCTCGCCAGGTGGTTATATGGAATATCAAGGCTACGATATATCAGCTGCCCATGCACTTATCCCTAAGCTACAACATCTTTTGAATGCGTTCCGAGCGTCTGGGTTTCCAGTCTATCATACACGTGAAGGTATGTTAATCATGTACAGCCCCCAAATTTGTACGTTACAGTACTTATCATTTTAGGTCACCGACCCGATCTCTCAACTCTCTCAAGTAGGGAGGCATACCGGTCACGTAATAACGATTCCGGATTTGGGATTGGGTCCCCGGGTCCATTGGGCCGTCTCTTGATCCGGGGTGAGGTTGGCCACGACACCGTTGATGAACTGTATCCGCTTCCCGGGGAGCCAGTCATCGATAAGCCTGGTCGTGGAGCATTTGCTCACACTGATTTCGAGCTTCTTCTCCGAAATAAAGGCATCAAGAATCTGGTAATTGCAGGAGTAACTACCGATGTCTGTGTGTCCACCACTATGCGCGAGGCGAACGACCGAGGGTTCGACTGCGTAGTCTTAGAAGACGGCACGGCGGCCAGTGAGCCTTCACTTCATTCGAGCACGATTGAATCGGTCAAAATGGAAGGTGGAATTTTTGGAGCGGTAGCCAAAGTGGATGATATAGTGCACGCTGTGGAGAACTTCAAAAATAGCACTGTGAAGAAGTTGGCTCCGCAGATGACAGTTTGACAGCTGGTTGGTTAGGCGTTATGATGTATCTTTGAGCGTTTCCTTTTGCCGTTTTACAAGCCATGGGGTTTATCGTGCGGATACTTTTTATTTAGTCTATATGTTAGCGACACGACCGAGATAAATCTCACTTGAACCATTCGAACACCGGTCTAGACGGTTGAAAACCGACAAATGAACACGGTTCATGCATATCTTCCATGTGAGGTAAGAATAAACCCACTGGCATTTTCACACTAGCACGCAACTAGCACTGATCGCGGCGTCTTAAGTTTTTGCTAAGAGCCTACTCTATTACTAGTATTACTGGTATTACGACATGGATATTGTAGGAGTCTTACTAACCCACTATAGAAATCACAGCATGTGACCAGACAAGTCCGAAGTAAAACCTGAGGAACCCTTGACCCTAAGCTGACCTCTACTTAGACTTATGCATGCCAGTGCTATAGATGCTTGTTAACCGTAGTCAATCCCATTGCTTTCGTGAGATCAAATCCTTACTTTACTTTGACTAATATATATCCTCATAGTGCTAATAACCCACCCAAGCCTCTCAAAGTTCCAACGCGACGCCAAGCTTAATTAGTTACCCTAGACAAATCAACAACCTCTCCTATGAACAGTATCCACGATCTAAGATATAAACCTGATCCAAAAATCAGACAACATGTGAACCTAGCCAACTCGGTAACGTTCTACAGTTCAAGTACCTGTAGTAGCTATTTTTATGATCTACACAAATCGCTCTTGCGCGGACTAGTTGACACGGTAACCTCTACGACCAAATTCTGGCATTTGTATAATTCAACTGCTTAGTGGGTTTGTCGCGTATATTTTGTCCTGGTAGTAATAGAATGGGGTGAATCTGCTAGATTTCAGCCTATCAACTTGGACTCAACCTTGGGCTAATATCATGGATGACGGTAGACTGTTGACCTCGGTCAAATATGTATCATGGCGCAGCTGGTTATAGTGTCAGAAATGGCCAAAATCTCACCAAACGTCCATGCTTAAACTTTACGTCCCCCCTCCTTCTGGAACCGATTACTGCGCACTCACTGGCTCTATACTAGATAACTCTGGATAGCCACGAAATGAGTGTTGGACTTCCACCCAATCACAAACATAATTCCGTAGCCAACGCTCACCAGGCGTACGGAGTACATAAGGCAGAATCAGACAGCCATCGGGCCCTTCTGTTGAAATTTTGAATTTTGAAGTAGAATCTAACCATTGACTCCCGAAAAATATACACAAGTAGAATATGCTCAAAGAACAAACAGGTATAAGCAGGAAAGTGGTATTAAGAAAGCGGAAGAAAGAAACAGAGAGATTACAGCCATTTTCTTCCCGCAGCCGTAACCCTCGACCTGAAGACGGGACTCCTAATCTCCATTCCTTGGCTGTAGAATGGGCTCATCACGGTCTTGACATAGTTTTCGTAAACCTCGTTCATGAATTGGCGCACGGCCTCCTCAGTCTGCGGGGAGGTTGGGTTCGCCCCGATTGAACTAGATGACGCGCGACTGGAACTACCACCTCCTAGAGCAGAGGCCGAGAAACTTGCTCCCAGTATCGAAGAAGATCCGCTTCCAGTGGAGGAAGCGGAGGGGAGTTGAGGGGGTTGATGTAAGAGGAGAAATCGGGCGCCGGAGGGAGCGAGGAAGGCAGAGATATAAGCTGACGCGGGGGGATAGGTGTCGATGTGTTTTAGATACCTTCATGTTGTTTTTTGCTTTAGTTTGCGACCTATATCGCATCAAGCAAGCAAGAAACGGAAAGAGGAGACATACAGGTTCCCATTCATCCACTGTGCTTCCTCTACAATGTCCAAACTTGAATGGATGATGAATTGGTTCATGTATTGTGCGGTATCGGGAAAGCGGAAGCGGGCAATTCCATCGCCACCACTTTTGGAGGTGCCGAAGGCGATGTTGAACAAAGGAACATCTGTGGGGGAGAGAATGGTGAAGTAGTAGGACATTTGTATTTGTCAACTTCGCGGGAATATTGGTTCAGAGAAACAATGATGATGTACGAGGAGTAGATAATGGTACATACATCACGTGAGCGATAAGATAACCGTTATCTATATGTACTTGCACGGAGTAAATGGAATGGTTTCTCATTATTGTTCCCACCTTACATAGCGTGACTATTCCTTTCCCGAGTCACTATTTCTTTAGCTTATACGGGTGCAGATTCGACCAGTTCCTGATAATCATATCCTATAGCATAAAGACCTGCCGTATGTGGTGCTGGACCCTGAATATATACATGCATTCTCCCTACATTGCTGGCAACGCGTCCTTTATGCCAGGAAGGGATATCACTTTCAAATGATCTATACTACCCTGTGTATCAGCACTTTGATGGTTATAGTGAACCCACTACACCTTACACCTCAAGATGTGGGATAACTCAATCTGAGCGTTTTACATGCCATATGCATGAGAAGTCTGAAAGGGCCACAATGAGACGCGTCATATCAAGGAGTCTGGAAGTACAAGGAAGGAACAACATGTTGGCTCTTGGCTGGCTTTGTGGGACTACCCCACCCATCGTGATCTCTGAGTGATCCAGTAATTTAGTCACCCCTGGCTTTGATGCTGTCCTGTCTATCAGGGACACTAGGGGATATATAATAGTAGCCCAGATCGCCTTCCTTCTGGCGACCTGACAGAGCTCGCTTGTAACTCATCGCAGCATTTTTGCTTATGTATGATTGCTCCGCAGATCATAGCCCCATTTCACCAACAAGCCACGGGGTTTTATGACTGACAATTCTGAAATGACGCCGGATGGCGTCCCAACTCACTCGCCCCGAAATAGTGGTAAGTACCGGCTAAAAGCTGAAAGTCTTTCCCTTCCTACTTGCTCTCACCCTCGAACGCTAGTTGGTGTCCCGCTAAAAGATGTGAAAGACAACCAGCTTTCCTTGAAATCTTATGGACACCGAGACACTTCTCCGGAGATGCCGAGCGGACCCCGAGCCAACGCCAATGAGAAAAAGCAGCGATGGAGATGGCCACTTAGAATCTGGCACTTAGTGATTGACCAATGGTTTCTTATTGTCATGGGCATCCTGATTGCCTTTGCCTCTCAGGTGCAGGTGCCAAAGTCCCAGCAGCAGATGAAGAAAACCGTCGTCAACTATCTAGCGGTTGCCGTCATTTTCTTCATCAATGGATGCACACTTCCTACCCAGGTTCTAGTAGAAAATCTGAGCCGTTGGAAGGTGCATATCTTCACCCAAGTGCAATGTTATCTCCTGACCTCATCTATTAGCTATGGTATTGTCAGTGTCTGTGCAATTGATAGGTATTTTATGGATCCAGCACTAATGATCGGCATCATAATTCTGGGGTGCCTTCCTACCGCGTAAGTCAACTCAATGAGAAGTTCACGGCTATTGGTTTCCTTTCTGCTGTGAGATAATCGCTAATTCGATGCTAATGGCGTAAAGCATCTCTTTCAATACAATAATGACTAGAAAGGCCAACGGAAATGGAGCCTTGACTATCGCACAGTCGACCATTGGGAATCTTCTTGGTCCATTCCTGACGACAGCTTTAATAAAGCTCTACACCGGCACTGGCTCCTGGTACACAGACATCCTGCCGGAGACCGAAGGATTCACCGAAACCTATCGATATGTCTTTAAGCAGCTGGGGCTTTCAGTTTTTGTTCCACTGGTATGTCCTACATTTCCATTGATAGTATGTGATCTGTTAATACTTATATACCTCCTTGATTAGCTGGCCGGGCAAATCATAGTCAGCGTATATCCACGTCTGGTGAAGATAGTATTCATAGAGTGGAAAATGAACAAACTGAGCTCTTTTGCATTATTAATCGTTATCTGGAGTACTTACGATGGTGCATTCGAATCAGATGCGTTTTCCGGTGTTCAGTCAGATAACATGGTATTCGTTGTCTTTATCTTGATAGCACTGTTTCTGGTGTGGATTGCCATCGCCATTTTGGTCTCATGGCTATGGCTCAGCCGCGAGGACACGATAGCTGTGGCATATCTGGTGCCCACCAAAACTCCGGCGATGGGTGTGCCAATAACGACGATCATGTTTGCGGGGCTGTCTGAAGCCGCTCAGTCTAGGGTGCAGCTGCCCATGGTCATTTACCAAGGGGTCCAAACGACTCTTAGTAGTTTGTTGACTATTCCCCTGAGGAAATGGAAAGCTCCCAAGTCTTCGCGGCGCCGATTGGTGCAGGCTGAGACTTCGGAATTAAACGATCTGTCGCAGGATACAGGCTTACCTACGAGGCCTGCGAATAATAGATCTGTCAGTACCATAGCATGATTGAACTTGGTGGTATCGAGGAAGACTGCGTGACCAAATTTCGATTTTGTTGCATACAGCTCGGCGTTATAAATCATTTACCAGGTATAGCAGATTAATTGTACTGTAAATCTCATGCATTCCTTTTGATATACGATAGACGATTCTAACTGGATAAGAACTGAAACTTTATGGAGCACTTATCAAGATACTACTGAGTGGCCTTTGCTCCTGGGGACAAGAAACCAGCACTCCTGCATCAACACTGAATAAGCCATGTGATTGTATCTGACCACAAACATGCCTCGTACTGCGTTGCTCTATTAGTTCTGCTCATATGACTATGTACACTAAATCCTACGTGGTTTGATCTACAAGTAAATGTGAAAAGTTCAAGTTCACATACTAGTGTCATACAACTCCTCGCAGTTGATAGTCTCCTTAAACAAAACACGGCTTCCAGGACTATTCATAGAGAAAAGAGAGTTTTGTGTGACATTTAGGTCAAAGATAGCAGTTTTTCTTACCCAAGTATAGACATCCCAGAGTCCATAGTCAGTAGCTAAATGACTTACCTGTCCACAAACACCATAGACACCATAAACTCCAAAAGGATTCTATGTAGTAGTATACGATAAGCTCCAGCCACAATACCGATAAGATAACACTATCGCCACGTGACCACTATCAACCAGAACTTACCTAAGTCCAACCTTCCTAGAACCCCGAACGACGAACCATCACCCAGCACTGCGAACAAAAACCCATACACCAAAAATGCCACCCCCAACGATCTCTTACGGCCTCAATCTCGCAAACAAAAAACAACCAAACGCGCGCCCAGGCGCCCCGGGGGCCCTGGGGCAAAAGCGCAAGAAAACAATCTTCGACTCAGACTCAGACACGGAAAGCAAAGACACGGGAAACGGGGAAATCGAGATATCTACAATTGGCGGACTGGAAGAGACGAAAAGGACTTCATCTTCATCTGCGAAACCGTCGACAACGGGGCCTCCTGCGAAGCGCAAAGTTCCGTTCGGAGGAGCTGCAGCGGGGAAACCGAATGTGAAGCCGCTGAGCAAGAATTCTATTTTCGCGGACGATGATGATGACGACGAGACTACGGAGCAGCAGACGGGGGATAGTGGGGTTCATTTTGGGTTGAATACGAAGAAGGGTGGTGGTGGTGGTGGTGGTTCCGCGGCGGGGAATAAAGACTATGTGAATCTGTCCGCGATGCATAGTAGTAAGAAGCATGCGCAGGAGGCGGAGGAGCTTGATCCGTCGATTTATTCTTACGATGCAGTGTATGAGAGCTTGCATGCGAAGCCTGGGAAGGAGAAAGCGGCGGCGGAGAATAAAAGCGAGGGACCGCGGTATATGGGGTCTTTGTTGCGGAGTGCGGAGATCCGTAAGCGCGATCAGCTTCGCGCGCGGGATCGGGTGCTGGCTAAGGAGCGGGAAGCTGAGGGCGATGAGTTTGCTGATAAGGAGAAGTTTGTGACGTCTGCGTATAAGAAGCAGCAGGAGGAGTTGCGGAAGATTGAAGAGGAGGAGGCAGAGCGGGAGAGACAGGAGGAAGAGCGACGGAAACAGAATGGAGGTACTGGCATGGTTGATTTCTACAGGGACATGCTATCTCGGGGCGAGCAACAACATGAAGCTGTTATGAAGGCTACGGAAGAGGCTGCACGGCGGGTGCAAGCTGGCGAAGCTCCGGAAGAAACAGAGGAGCTCAAGGAGAAGACAGAAGCGCAGAAGGCCGAGGAGCTCAACGCGCGGGGTGCCCATATTGCCGTCAACGACGAAGGACAAGTTGTCGACAAGCGGCAGTTGCTATCTGCTGGTCTCAATGCTGCCCCAAAGCCCAAGCAACAACCCTCTGCGGCCTCGGCTTCTGCTGGATCGCGCGCTTCTGCGGCAAGGTCCCGGTTCCAATCGGAGCAACAGAACGCTCGGGCTGGTCAGCGCGCTCGTCAAACAGAGATGATTGCCTCGCAACTGGAAGAGCGAGCGCAACAGGAAGAAGCGGCCGAGGCAGCACGGCAGAAAGAAATCGCAGAGCGCAGCCGCAGCCGCAAGACCGAGGGAGATGTCTCGAGCGCGAAGGAGCGATACCTGGCGAGAAAAAGGGAACGAGAAGCCGCTGCAAAAGCCAAGGGTGTCTAGCCCTTCTCCTTTGGCTTCTACTGTATACTGTTTCAATTACTTCGGAGTCACAGGGGTTATGGTTGCATAAATGAGGCGTTAGACAGGGTATTGTTTGTATATGCGTGTAATAGATGTATGATAAATGCGAAAATTGGCATTCTCCCTAAATTGCAACCCCCGAACTTGATTCACCTTGAGCTGTGTTGTAGGCATAGACTAGTCTGGTGTGTTAGACGGCATTAACTTATAGTCTTTCTCAGTAGAGTTCTAAATTCATTCAACCCGGGTATACGGAGTACAGAATCTAGTTCAACTTAGCTTTTAAATTACTTATCTATTACGTTTTCACTATAATATCAAATTCAGCAATAACCTCTCCTCGATAGGAATATTAAGTATCTTACAAAGAGCAAATGATTCGATATAAGATTTACCCAGCACATGATCTCTGGATCTGTGTCACCTGAACCCATGGCAGATTTTCTCCCCCATCTCACCTCGTGTATTCAATCGGTACCTTACAAGCACAGTGACTGACTACATATGATCTCATCAACAAGGAGACACATTCACCCCACGGTCCATCAAACAAGCATAGTGATCTCATAGATCTACTAGACAGTTCCACCGCATTACTCAAGCCCCAACTAGCGCACTTACGAGGCCGCGATTTAGGGAAGGGGCTCCGATATACCATGTCTATTTAAGCATTCTACAGTACGCCTATGAAAGGAATATTACCCCTAATTGCCGCAAGGATGAGTTTTGAGTCTTCGTTGAGCAACAGGTTGCATTAAGTGAATAGGTAAAGACATATCTCATAAACCCGAAAACAGAATCATCACTCGTTGCGCATTCACGAAACAGGTTTAACTCCTAGATGCTTTATCGCGTTGGCCTCCTTTTTGTCTATGGTGATGCGTGGTGTTTATAGTAACTCAAACTCAAACCCCAAGGTATACCAAATAAACGCCTAGTGAATCATGACAATTATGCAGTCAGGGCAAAGCTGAGGCCCATTATACCCATTCCCGCAATGGCAAAGCCGATTGACATCCCCCGGTTGTGGGTCAGTCCCAACCCTTCGCTGAACAACTGCAGGGCTACGGAGGTCATGACCCCGGCTGTAGCGGCGAACATGCCTCCGTACACGGCCCAGGACGAGTCGGCATCGTCCCCGGGGCTACCGGTTCGTCCGGCGCCCCAGATCCAAAGGACCGCGAGACCTGCACCGGCCGGTTGGCTGACACCGCCCAGAAGGCTGGACCAGAAAATCGCTTTGCCGCGCGAGTGCAGGGCAAGATAAAGAGGCAGTGCCATGGCAAAGCCTTCACTGATATTGTGGATGAGAAGGGCAAGAAAAACGGTCAGACCAAGTTTTGGGCTAGCATGGTTGGTGGCATAAGTGATGAAACCCTCGGGCAATTTGTGAAGAGCGATCGCTATTGACGTTTGCAGGCCGATAGACAAGAAAGCATTTTGCGGTACATGGTGGTGATGCTGGCTTCCAGGAACTTGTGTTTTGGACGTGCCATCCACATCGCCCGCAGTTGAACCTAAGTATTCAGGTATTTCGTTACGAGGGGTAGAGGACGATGAGTCTCCAAGTTTGTGATGTGTGTGGTTGGAGACAGACAAGTCTTCTTCTGGGCCATCCACCCGTTCAATGTCTATATGCACGGGGATAGTGTGAACGCTAGTGTCATCTGCGACAGAGACCTCAGGGGCAATTAGAGTCTTAGAGCATTCAGCACCGCATGTCTGCGAAAAGCCATAACAGGGACCATCCTTGTCGCACTGCGTTTTGATGCCCACCATACGACTTAAGCGCCGGCCCAGACGTACGCGCCAAGTTCCGGCAGGAAAAACGGCAGAGTGGGGATTTCCCTCAGATCCCGCGTGTGGCACCGCAGGACTGGATTTGCTCGCCCGCGCCAGCAAAGGAGTCCGCTCAGTCCAACCATGATGATCTTCTGAGTGATGTGCATGATGGTGACCGTGGCCGCGTTCCGGGTCGGCAGAGTTTGCATCCGGCTCATGACTATGAGCACAGCCGACGACGTGGGAGGGAATATAACGATGAAGAAGCGCAGACAGGAAACGAATAACAATGACACCGGCTAGAAAGAGACCGATCAGGGAATAGGCGGCAGCAGCAGGAGACCATCCAGCACGGGTGAGGTACTTTTGAGAGGTAGGCAGCATGCTATAGAGAGAAGTAAAGAGCTAGCCAGGTTAGCCATGGCCGAAAAAAAGAAAACAAACCAGAAAAGAAGAAGAAGAAGAAGAAGAAGAAAAAATTACCATAACACCAGCACTAAGACACAACGAAGCGGAGAGAAAGGCATTATTATTCACGATCTGGAAACCTTTCCCTCTAGAGAAGTGGCGGAGTAGAACGTCAACACATATGACCGCGGACCCCAAGATGCAAGCTAGAAGAAGGTCAGCGTTAATATGCTCAAATGATCAAATACGAGAAAAAAAATAAAAATAAAAACAAATAAAGTAAAAGATTATTTTTATACTCACCCACGCCAGAGACGCCGCTCATAACCCAACCCCGAACATCATTACTGACAGCCATGATGGTTTAATCAGTGTGGAGAAATCGGGGGGGGGAGTGACGATGGGCGGAGCGGAGGATGGAATTAAAAGGGCAAGAAGTTTCGAGGACCTTGCGGGCGGGTGATGTCACGGGGTTAATTCCCTTCTTTTTCCTTTCGCCTCTTCCGTATTTTGAAGCTTAGCAAAAATATCCTATATTTAGTTTCTGATCATATCATATCTGTAGATAATACAGTCAAGCTTTTTTACCATGTTCCGAGAATGCTACCACGGAAGCTCCCGTGTACATCGACTTGGTTGGGTCTAGATCAGTGGATTGACGGTCGATATCATGGGTAACAGAGGAGCTGTTGAGTAGTAGGAGGCCAAGGTGGTGTGTGGATGTGTCCATGAAAGTTTGTATCGACAATCTCTAGTCGCATCTTTGGAGAAAGGTACTGCAGTGACGTGATTAGTTCTTACTAGAACTATAAATTTGTTATTGCATGATTCTCATTGGTGGTCTGCATGGGGAACTAGCGATTTAAATGTAGATGGATATTGAGCTAAAATAACTACTCCGTAAACATTGTTCAACAGAGTAGTCAGCAGAGAAAGATCAATTGGACCAGTGAACACATTGAAAGAGTAGGGAGTGTCCTCCTTCGAATCATTTCCCCTATGTGACAGTCCCAAGACATAATCATACTGTAAAGAAAACAGTGTTCCTTCCTTCACACCTCACCATAGCTCCTATACAACTTTCGATCATACTCCCTGAACCGTGACAAAAACTAACATAACGACATGAACCCGGGATCGCCAACACAGACAAGCATCAGACTGACCTGACCAGGCACCAGAGGTCATAACCCGTGACTCCCATAGTTACCTACCTAGCAAGTTACTCAGGAACAGGCTGGTTTCTGGGCAAGCAAAACCTTAGATACATATATGACGAGAAGAGCATATGTGATAGTCTCTGTAAGTAATACAGATCACTGAGTTGAAGCAACGGCGATGGGCGCAAGCATTCGCACCGGCCGTCGTGTCGAGGTCATCATCAGTCTCCACTTGATCTTCTCCCTTCAGTTGACTCTGTGCAATCATGGCGTCCGCTTCGGCGAAGGAGTTATCTAACTCCGAACATAGGGAATCGGCCGCCACAGCCACCGCGACGCCGTTCATGTCTTTGAGATAGTAACCGCCGTCTTCATCGTGAAGGACCGTTTCTGGGCGGTCGCGCACTGCTTGATTCATTTGCTCGCGTGTCTCGCACACGATAAGCCTTTCAGGGACGGGCTTGCTGTATCTAGTAAAGGACATAGCCGCTGAGCTTGTGCAAGCGAGGAGAAACAGGAGGGTGAGTCTTCCTAGAATTGATTTCAAAGCCATGATTCAGATATTCTAGGCGTGCAAGGTGCATGATCTGAATGATGAAGTTGTGAGCTTTTTACTTCAGCGAGGACGAGCACATCTTCTTATACCTGCGCTGCGAGGTATTGTAGGCGGGAGTTATGGTTGTTCTTGTGTACCATGCGCAAAGGCAAGAAAAATGTAATATTGAGTGGTGATTCGCGCTTCCTCTGATGATGCGCATGTGATTGATATACTTGTGTTCCCTAAAATCGAGAAAAACACTGCGCCGTAGCATTTCTATATCGCCGACAAGGCTGAATTGACTTTACACGAGCCGGTTTTCCGGACTCTTTCTCAGATTAGACACTCTGGCTGGCTGCACCTCATGTATGTGAGATGGTATTTTCACTGCGGTGCGACATATCCCACGGTGTCATACTCTGGAGAGAGGTGCTCAGTAGCCTCAGCCTGCATGCCATATATGCAACTATCTCCCTCATGCCACGTTGTGCCAGCCATCGAAGTAACATTACCAGCACTGTCAATCCCAAGTACTAACATTCAGCAAGTAGATCTCTCCGGTATTAAAGGAAGATTGAAGAAGGATAAGCATAGTAATCTCGTGTCTCAAGGGATGTTTATGTATCACATAAGCCAGAGAATAAATTTATGCATATGCACTTGGATCGGTTCTACAACGATCATTAGCTATCGAGGCGCGATTACAACCATGCAAGGTAGAGAGAGGCATGAAGCATGTGCCGCTACGATCATACAATCCCAAACTTTGTTTGCTAAATTGATCCGGACGGAGGAGCTCTATTCTCTCAGTGGTGCTCCCAGCATTTCGGCTCCTCGTATCGCCAACAATGGTCTATACCCCTTACTGTGGTTCACGCACGGAGTCGGAAGATCTCGATTGAGTTGTGCACCGGACTGCGGTGTGAATATTTGAGCCAATCTAATCATCAGCCAAGCCGGCAAAGAGATAACTATGAGAAAGTTAATTTGGAGTTCTGACTCGGATGGATAACGGTAGAACGTTATGAAAATCAGAATACAAACGCACGGGAGCCTACATAGGAATATATAATTCAACTTTAGTGGATAAGGACTGAGATACGCCCAATGGACATAGTGCAACTGGCAGGCTGTTTGCATAGGTTCCTGAGGGGTTGCGGTGGTATTGAAATGCGCTAGCGATGCTCTTCCAAATGGGTGTGGTAAACTCAAATCAAGGGAGATCAGAGGAGGAGGTTGAGGAGGAGAGAAAAGGGGAGAGAGAGAGAGAAAGAGAGAGAGAGAGAGAGAGAGAGAGAGAGAGAGAGAGAAAGAAAGGAAAGAAAGGACGGAAGAATAGTCAAGTTCAAATAGACGACCGTAGTTAGAAGGCATAGGGTTTGCATCCACGATCTGCCACAGAACAGGTACAGTAGGAACCAAATCCCAATAAATTGTCCCGAGGGCCAAACAGACTAGAAGTAAATAGTACTCGCTTAACACCAAACGCTTGAGGACAAAAGGAAACGAAATATTAGATGCTACCCCAGGAAAAACAGTTATGCATAAATATACCCTCAGAACCATACCCAGTCCGGTCTCGTAATGATACATTAACAGAACCCATCGCACCGGCACCGTAACCGTACACCCTATGACCCGAAAACCAGACGCCAGAAGTCGTTAGAAGGACCCCAATACCATGGATACTAAGTCGAAACAAAAGAATGAGGACCTCTCCTTCTTGAGGGTTGTCAGTTTGTCCCGATCTCGTATAGCCAGCCAGTGTAAACACAATACTTACAGGCCGCCTTAGACGAATGCTGTTCCAATGACTCCAGTTCGGCTAACCGACTTTCCAAGTATGCGCATTCTTCCGTGAGACTCTTGATGAGATCTGACTGCAGCATATGCGCACTGTTTCCTTCCTCGGTAAATTCACACTGCGAAGGTGTTCCCCGGAGACAGCAGGGTGTACATGGCTTAAGGTGATCACACTGGACAAGTACACACACTAGTCAGTTATGTCTCTTCAAGTTACGTAACAAGGTAACCTTAGGGTTCGTCAAGAAGCGACCAAGACCGCGTAGGGGCTACTAGGGGACTTGCCTTGACTCTCCGCTTGTGACATGGAAGACAAGCATAGATGGGCCGTCTCTTCTTTTCCGTTCGAGGAGCCCCCGAAAAGGTTGGAGATTCTGTATCGTCGGCCATAATGACCTGCAATTGCACTGCACTGAGAGAAACTACGGGTTGTCCGGCTGTAGCCTCATAGTACTAAGCAAAACTAAGGGAGAAGAGACTGGACTTGGTCCATTGCGAGACAAGGGTTGTAGTCAAAGAAAGAGCAAGCAAGATCAAAAACAATCTCGCACCGGTTTAACGGTATATATATAAACCATAGATGATACAGCAAAACCACCCCCCGCAGCGCACGAGCCCACGAACCATAGAATGGAAATATAGATCTGTTGAGTAATAACTCAAATAGGCATCTATCATCATGCCATTGCCATTCTGGGTAGCTTCTACTTTGAGTGGAGATCCTCAATATCTGGGTATCATGCAGACACCATCGAATTAAGGCTAGATGCATGCAACCAAAAACAATAAATTGATATGCTATAGCATGCCAAGTGGTTGGATCCGATTAACTCCTAACCATGTGGCATTTCGCTCAGAGTTTGATCTTACTTGAGAGTATTAAGATTATTATTTTCACATGCAATCGTGCATGAGCTCCAATCGGCGTGCCTAGAGATGGGCCCAGAGTGGGCAAATCTCGAGGTGGGAATAGGGTATATCGCTGTGGGCAGGGATCTAGACAACCAACTAGGCACAAACCATTTAATTTCTTTCAGCCCTGAGGGCTGAACACAAATCAAGGGATCACCTGGTAACGAATGAGGCGGATGGACGACCACCTCCACCCAAGATCGAACTGTGGCTTTCCAACGGTTTCTGTGGCCCAGCAATAGTTTGCCACCGGATCTACAGTTCCTCTTCTGGCTACATAACCGACGGATCCAGCCCAAAGAAGAGAAAAGGTTCCACTGTGGCGGTGCCCGAGGTTCGGGCGATCAAGTTCCCAATCTAGTGGATGTTTCACGCCCTGACGAGACAGATTATTGTGGCTGGTTTTGCGGAATGTCTCCAGTTTGGATGACCTTCAGGAACGATGAGCATGTTATTGTCTCATAGTTCCCCTGTCGAGATCCGCAGCAAATCTCCTGCACCTTCCTATGTGGGGAAGAACTTATACCAGGAATTCGCTTCCAACTAGTAAAAGTAGTAGTAGTGGTAACCGATGGGGCCATACATGCAGGAACTGAACCTTGTATGATATTTCAGAATTGGTAAGTTTGCAGTAATATTCTTCCTATGTGGGGACCGACATGTGAAAGATCTTAAGCAGACCAGAGTGACGGAATGGAAGAAAGAGTAAATCATCAAGAGGCATGATAGGATTGAGGAAGTAATGCTACGTCTCTTCATCTGGTTCTCTAGGGCCATTGCATTCATTCTCGCTCTCAAAGCATGTACGCAAAAAAAAAAATATTGTACAGATGATCATGGTCACGTAATTAATCTTAAATCCTTTGGAAGCCTTCGGTTTGGCATCCGAGTCTCTCTTTCAGTCAAGGATAGAAAACCGATACTTTTGATAGAAATACTGGGACAATTTCTGAGGAAACTGCCCCTCAATGCTGCCAGCAGAGAAAACGTCACAGACAAGTTTCAATGCAAACCTGACCAAGCAGGCTAACGCGAATGGAAAGTTTTGCACGCAGAATCTCATACTGCGGCATATGTTGCAGGCATATTGATAACGCCAAGTTAGTGACGCCCCGGTAGGGACTGCGAGGTAAAAGGCCCAGTATGAGATTGTTGTCGCACAGACGTCAACATTAGGGTAAACTAGATCCCGTGGTCTACGGGCTTCAGATGCGGAATCGTGCATCTCAAACACTGGAAAATCGTCCATAACGGTGAAAAGCGCTTCGGTAGGTTCGGGAAGGGCATCAAGGGGTTGCGATTCCCTCCACTCCTGTAGGCGATGGACTATTTGCATGGCTTGATCCTCGGCAGTGTACTCAAACTCATCCAGCGAGGCACAGGGAGAAGAAGACTCCGAGCCTGGTGAGGCGCATCCCATCTGTCTCCAAAGCCCGGGAATATCCGCGGCGATGTCTAGTAAGCTGTGTAAGTTGCTTCGTGGGCTCGCTTCGGTCCAGGGGACGGTTTTCCAGTCGTCGTTAGCTAGGAATGTTCGTCCATGTGATATCGCGGAGAGGATCTATTTCAGTATTAGTTCACAGAAGCTCCCTTTATTTTCATATATCGTGGTCATCAGTGGGATGTACCCAGGACAGGCGCAAATCTGCATAAATAGAGTGGCCCACGCCTTTGCAATGGTTTGACGGAGTTCGTAGGCAAAGCAAATCGAGGCCTCCTTGTTGATGCTTTACCAGAGCGTCCTTGGAGCCTCCTTCGTACATCTGAGACCGTCTTATTAGTGGAATTGGGAAAAACTTGAACTTATCGGACAAAGCTCACCTCAACCATCCCAAATAGAGTGATCGCCACGAAAACATCGTCGCGTAAACGTCTCTCAGCATCACATATCGCCGCCCCCGCTAATCGTAAAGCACATGTGTATCGAACCAGACCAGAATGGGTGGACTTTGGATCGCATAACATTTTGCCCATCAGAACAAAGGATGTGGCTTCGATAGCCGCACAAAGTAGAGGGGAGCTGGACCGCATCTGGACCGCTTGTTCTAGCCATAAGGGCACCGTGCGCTTGCCGTTAACATCGACACTGAACACTTCTACTAGGGATTGAATAGAACGTTCCGTATGAGTGGATCGCGCAGGAAGACTACTGTTGGATTGCACGTAGGATTGTGGTGATTGCTCTATACAGAACTTCGTATCTTTTGAGTGAGTCAGCACGGCTGATGGAAGTGTAAGGCGCAAAGCCGCCACATACCATCAGATTCCTGTTTCGGCTGCACAGCCTCCCGGCATAGAGATGTCCTTGGACTTTTTCGATGTGTATTTCGCGACCGTGCTTGCTTTCCTCGTTGTTTGGGAAGGTCCGATTGTTGTGACGTGAGGTAGACAGGAATCTTTTTATTTGAGGCCGATAAGAGGGTGACGATCCGCTGCTCGAGGAAATTACGCCGCTGTTGTAGGCGTCGCAAAAGGTGGGCCTGCTCAATGAACCACCTATCTTCTAGAGTGACCGTGTATTCGCATTTCGCTTGTCGTCCTCGTACGCAGCAGGCACTGCATGGCCTGACATGGTTGCACTATCCCACCCACTATCAGCACCATACGGAGTGGGTTCGCTAAACCACAGCAGGATGAATTTAGGTAGGTACCTTAATTTTCTGAAAATGGCAAGGTATACATGAGAGCACGGCTCTTTGCTTTTTGTTCCTTCGGGGGGCTTCTGAAGCTGCACTATCCATAATGCCAAATAGTCTTGGTCTGTATGTTTAGATTCCTTGACGCACAGCGGGATTTGGGGAGGGAATTGGTTGTCTCAAATAGGAAAGAAGAACGAAGAACTTGGAAGGAAAGGGAAAAAAAAGGTGTATATTTAGAAAAGGGGGGGGGGGAGAAAGAAAGGTAGCACATTAGTAGAAAGTATTGGTATAGGCGTCTAGCCAGTCGCAACCTGTCCCAAGAAGAATTGAAGAACAACCTAGCTTAGTTTTGGTTATGTCGTTATTTGTCAGCCCACTTGACAAGCATCTAAAAGTCCTCCGGTGGGATAGGTTACAGTACTATATTTTAGTACCTACGTACGTGTGTATTGTGAAGGTCGAGGGACGGGTCAGGGTGCAGGTCCAGGAACCATGTCATTAGGGCTAAGGGAGCGCTGAGTAGCGTAAGCTAGGGTAACTTCGTGATCTGCAACATTGTACCCAATATCTCCTAAGTAGTCTATCTTGCTGTAGGCCAAGAACTGTAAGCCGGATCCTGCGCCACACTTGATATTCGAAACCGACGCTCGGCCGGAATGCTGTGGCTACTTGTCATAAAGTAGTTCAAGCTACGACGATATGGGGTTCCTGGATTAGGGCTACGGAGTACTGGAACGATTCTTGCTGCTACAGAATCAGGTAAGGAGGGGATAGAAGGAGGAGGAGGAGGAGGTCTTGTGGGCATTGCGATACGGAGTGATCGGAATCTTAACAAGGAATGTGTGTATGTCTGTGCTGGGCTCCTCCTCAGTACACGTCCCGCATATCTTGCGCCCATCAGATCTCAAATTCTCAATGTCAGTGAGAAACTTTGGACCAAAGGAAGCGAGTTTAGTTTTCTCGGTACGGTCGTTAGGACCAACCTTTCAAGCTAGGGTTTTGGATCCACCGGGTGGCAAACCATTCGGATTCCTCAGGCAGACCAGATAGTACTAGTCAAGGTTCCCCTTGTTTATATGGTTATGCAATCGTTTTATTCATAATTTTATTTGACTTGGATTTGATTCTAACGATTTATTTTATTTTTATTTTTTATTCTTATTTTTTATTCTTATTTTTTATTTATTTATTTATTTATTTATATTTTTCTGTCCCTATTGTTCCTTTCTTTTCGTGCCTCCCTCCCTTTTTGTCTTTTTCTTTTTTTTTTTTTACACTATTGGTTTGGGTGGAGGTTTGTTTTGAAGGATCTCTGAGATTTCCCGACCTGCCGATCGACGAGGACAATTTAATTCATGGTTGCCTGTATTTTGTTGGAATGCAATGTAAGGAAAGTCAAGTGACTTTCCTGCTGAAAGGTGTGGAGCTTTTTTTTTTTCATGGAACTAATTTCCAACATCCTAGTCTTACTACCTTCAATTAAGATCTAGTAGAGAGGACCTTTGGACTGTGTGCTCGGAGTCGCCGTAGAAAAGAGAGAGAGAGAGAGAGATGAAATCCACTCAACTCTCTAACTGACTCTCCCCATGGGAAGCGCAAAGCTGAACCAAGTATACTGCTGCCTTGAATGAGACGACTCGAACCATGCCAGAAGAAATGCGCTTATTGCGGATGACGAAGGCCTCTGCCCCTCCGCTTGGACTACTATACATGACTTAGTACTTACTATACTCTACGAAAATAGCAAAGCAGATCTCAAGATTTGTACACCGCTGGGGCCATCTACCAATTGGGACCTCGGAGGGCTCGGTCCTATAAGCCTGCTTCGGTAGCGTAGGTAAATGACAAATCGCTGGAGGAGGAATGACTAGATAGACCAGTTGATCAACCAGTGTGACTATTCTCCGTAGGGGATTAACGGCTAACTGCAGAATTTTGAATTTTGTCCGTGAAAACGGTCATTTGAATCAGTTGGCAGCGGGAGAACCGCTGCAGGAAAAGGAGAGGGTACCAGATCGTCTGCAGCCGACGAAAATGAGGAGTGCGGCGTCGTATAGTCTGAACCCGATGTACATAGTGACATCTCGATCAGAGAGTTAGTCAGGCCTAGATCCGAAGACCGTGAGGCTATACCCATCATATCATAGTCATGGTGTGAGAGCTGCCGTACATCTTGAGCATTCTCGATATCCTCCGACGGTAAAGTGGAATGGAATGTGGCTGAGCATTCGCCTAGGAAAATGCCGATCTGGTCGACAAATTCTCCGGGAGGCAAATGGTCAGTAAACTCTGCTGCTATGGACAAGTAGACATTCTGATCCGTCAGAAATGCGATCTATCGTTTGACACTGTTATTGGTTCCTCATGCAATAAAGCATTGACTTACCCCGTCTTTTGCTTTCGATAGTTCGTTTCTGACTTTTCCGACCGGGTTGAAAAGAGAATTCCATATCTAGGAAACTATTTCCGGCTATTTCCGGGGATAAGGAGTTCATGCTCTTTGACGTCCCCAGGAAACAATTGTTCCCACCCTCCTGCCCCTGATATCGACGAGTTCACAAAGGTAGATCTCAAGTCAAGAGCAGTGTATGTATGCACTACTGTTGAGTCTCTCTCTCCTGAGAGAATGTACATGTACATACTCCCGTACAATACTATGGCTTTTGATCAGCTGCAGGCTTCACCTGCCGTGGTCATCAGATCATCCGTGTAGTACACAGAAAGAGAGGAATGCGTTTTCCATTAAATATTCATACTTTGCTCAGACTCGTGTAGATTATCGTAAAGATACTTTCACAAGATGTAAGTTGGCCAGAGAACAGTTTGTCCCGTATGTTCTTTGTGAGGTACCTGAGGCACCCCAGGCACCGTGCCTGGATATCATCTGATTTCCGCCCTCTGATTGGCCATCCATTTTAACTTCAATTTGACTCTCTTCAGCAATTTTCAACTTTTGTTCCCCAGACTTCCATCTTCAACCTCATCCTCGTCTTGCCACCTCTTATCCGCTTACCCTCTTGTTCCTCTTATCATTTACTCCTCTCGGCGGCATGTCCAAGGCGACTTTCGCCGCAATCGCCGCGGCTAGCGCGGCCACCGGAGCTGGCCTTACAGCGTTGCTCTATTCCTCTTCCTCCCCTCGGCCCCAACAGCAACAGCAACAACAACAACAACAACAGATACTACCTCCATCTACGCCAGTTATCTCGACTACTCCTGTCCCGGCCCAACCGGCAGCCCCGTCACTCGCCGCCAAATCCCTTGCCGGACCCGTCGACCCGTCCGGTATCTACCAATATGGCTTCCCCGGCCCCGTCGCCGATACCCTGCTCTCAGCTCCTTTAGCCGGCGCATACGACCGTCGCACGCGCAATCCCGCCTGGGTAGCCGAGCACATTACGCCGGCTTCGCTGGCGATGAAGAACGCGGACCGCAAACACAGCACCTTCTTCGAAGACACCACCATCCCTGCCGCCTTCCGCGCCAAACTAAATGATTACTTCCGCTCCGGCTATGATCGCGGCCACCAGGTGCCTGCGGCCGACGCAAAATGGTCTCAGGAAGCTATGGATGCTACTTTTGCCCTGACAAACATGTGTCCCCAGGTGGGCGAGGGATTCAACCGGGACTACTGGGCGCATTTTGAGGAGTTCTGCCGCGGTCTGGCCAAGAAGTATCCTTCCGTTCGCGTTGTGACCGGTCCCTTGTATCTCCCTCACCGTGATGCGGATGGCAAATGGCGTGTGTCGTACGAGGTGATTGGCAACCCGCCTAATGTTGCCGTGCCCACACACTTCTATAAGGTTATCTACGCTGAGGAGGGTCCCGCTTCTCCTACTGGAAAGGTTGCCTTGGGTGCTTTCGTTTTGCCCAATGCTCGGATCTCGAACGACAAGAGGCTGACGGAGTTTGAGGTGCCGGTTGAGGTGGTCGAGCGCGCGAGCGGCCTGGAGTTTGTTTCAAAGTTGGAGACGAACCGTCGCAAGCGTCTCTGCCAGGAAGTCAAGTGCGATGTTGTCGTGCGCGAGTTTAACAACTCTGCCAAGCGGAACTAGAGTGGCTATTTGACGGAGTCCTTTGAGAGATTAGGCATCTGGGGCCGATCTGTGTAATTTTGGATGTAATAATTTCGGGTTTATAACTGGTTTATATAGTCCGGGCGTTTACAGGTTGCATTCACATCGGTCGTTGTACCTATAATTTTTTTTTATCCCCATATAGATCGTCAGTCTGCCAATTTTTGGCATGGTCTATCACTGCCAACTAAGTCATAAAGGATACCCCCTATCTATTACATCATACTCCATGCAATCAGTTGAATGCAGCCATTCAGCATTGAAATGCAACGCCCGTCTTGGTCGCTACGTTTCCACCGCGCCCTGCAAACCCTGTTCCTTCTGAACTGATCTCTACTAGACCGGGCTTAATGGTCTCCTTATCTTTCTTCTTTTTCTTTCCAGATTCCTTGCCATTCTCCGTTGAATCACGAGGTGTGATATCGGCTTCGCAAACGTAGCATAGAATTAGCCCGTGAAGCGCAGCTGTCTGCTCTTGCTCTTCTTTGGTAGCATGTGGGTCTGGTGCATCGTGCGGCGTCATAAATTTGGTCACACAAGGAGAACAGATAACATGGCCACAAGGTTTGGTCACTATAAATATGAATAGTCAGTGGTCACCGCTGACCGAAGATCCAGGAGTGGAGGATTGTACTTACACATCGCCTTCAGCCCATTTGTTAATGTCTTCTTACAGCTCGGACATATCCGCGCTATTGAACCGTCGGATGCTTTTTCCTCGGTGAAATGTACGTCGACCAGCGACTTGAGCGAATAGCTATGGCGGTGTTCATCCGTCGACCCGGGGCAAACAGGAGTCAATTTGACGGCCTTGTTGGCTGCAATCTCGTTCGGATCGGTGTTGGGAGTGAGCGAGGGAACCCAGAATGACGGCAGAGCAGACTTGCTGGATTCAGACTGGCAATTATCGTCTGTTAGTATAGTACTTCCTAACCGGATACCTTTTTATTCCTACCTTTTCCTTCTTTAGCTCCTCTTTGAGCCGCTCCTGCTCTTCCCGAGAAACCCGTGCCATCTCCTTTTCATCGAGCTCAAACACCTTCTTCCGCTTGCCGTCCACTTCGATTTCCCTCGCCTTAAACGCAGCCGATGCCTCCGTAGCCTCCTCAGCCTTGCGCTTTTTATGATTGTCGTTCTGCGCTTGACCGGAAGATTTATTCTTTGCTACCTCTAATCCCATACTGACGAGCTCAAACTCGCGCAGCTCCCGTTCACGCGCCTCTTCCAACGTCCGCTCATCTTCTTCTGCAAGTCGTTTTTTGGCCTCCTCCCGTTCTCGTTCGAGTCGCTTGATCTCCTGTCGCTGGGCGAGGAGATCGTTTATGGCGCATTCGCGACAGAATATATCACCGTTTGTTGCGCAGGCGACGACGGGTGCTCGGGCGGGGTGTAGACACAGGCGACAAGAAGCGAATGGAAGGAAAGAGTCGCGACCGATGACGCCGCGTTGGGTGCCCCATTGCGACCGGAGGAGACCACGCTCGTAGGAAGTAAAGTGTGGGAGGGAGGTGTTACGTTTGGAATGGGCCATTATCGCATGTGGTAAATGGTTGAGTATTTAAAAGGACATGGAGTGGAAGGTTCTATTTCGGAATATCTTGCGAGGATGAATGAGCTGCGGTTGTGGCGGGCAAATCGCGGGCAAATCGAGAGGATTTATATTCCTAATGGAAATTTTGATGGTTGATTGATCTAATCTTGAGCTAACCTGAGCTAGAAAATCGACATATCAATAGACGTATCGAAAATTCAAGTGAGGAAGATGAGGCCAAAAGCATGCAAATGAAATAAATTGGAGAAACCATGCCATGACATAATCATCATCACGTTCTCTCCGCATTTATTCCAAAACCCCAATCGAGACATTCACTGTCCTTCCAACCTCACCTACAAGTCCAATTGAAATAGAAAATTATCAAGAGACAAAAGGCGATGAGGAATGACTATCCTCTTTCGCTCTCAAGTCCAATGAATTATTCAGAGCCCGGAACCTCCTCGGGACAACGAACGCTGGCTTTCTTGACCATCACCACCTTCTTTTCCGCCTCGACCTCCTTCACGACTGGGGTACTCTGTCCTTGCTGAGTATTTTCTCCAGCTTGAACCGAGTCTTTTCCCTTCTTTCTCTTCTTCTTCTTTTTCTTCTTGGCTGCCTCGGGAATAGTAGGGGAATGATATTCTGGGAATAGATCTGGATTATCAGCCATGAGCTCTCGGATAAGATCCAGCACATCCCAGTGCGGATCAGTGCAGACTTCGCCTGATGACGATTCCTGGGTAGATGCTTCGCTATGGCCCTTGGACACTTGAGGCTTCCCCTTTGAAGTATTGTCGCTGGGTCCATCCTTATTCCGTCTGAGATTCGATGTGCCACTGCCGCTCCGGTGAGCCCTCTCCGGCGTAATCGGCCCATGTCTTTGCTCTGGGAAGTGTTCTAATTTCGAGGCACCTGGTTCAAGCAATATGTCTGCCTCTTTTGGCTTGGTGGGCTTTTCAGGTAAAAGCAGGTACCTACTGCATTTCTGTTTGGCCATAGCGTCAGATAAGCGGTAGTATCGGTGTACGCGAATATACTCGTCCGACTTTGCTGCCATCATGAACAGCTTCTCCTTGACGTCGCGTTCATCAAGCATGTCTCGACCTTCGGTAACGGTGGAAAGCCCTCGTGTGGTAGCTCCAAACCCCGGCATCACCGTGGGTGTTTCGTACCAGATGAGGATCTGTCGATAGAAGATTCCCGTACTCCCCTCGAGGATAGCCAACATTCGGTATGCCTTGGCGAGGAAGCACATAGCGCGCGCAATATCAGAGTGGTAACCAGCGATCATGGCACACTTGGCCCAAATCATGGCAACGCGAGCATCGCGGATCTGGCACGTAAGAAGCCTGCCTATCACCTCCTGCGCGGACTTGAAAGCCATCGCGGGATACAAGTCGACAGTGTCAGGGTGGTTCAAGATGCGCTCAACTTTCCAATACTTATCCATGGCAACCTCGATCACATCCTTGGGCTGCGCACACGCTTTGCACGAGCAGAAGAAGCCGAACTCAGTCCACGAGAACAACTCCCTCGCCTTCTGCTGTCCCTTCCCATAGAAGTACGCGACAGTGATCTCCTCATCCTTCGGAATATTCTTGAGAACCCGCACAACAGCCCTTCCAACCATCGGACTTTCCCCAATATTAATATTTCCATCCTCATTCTTCGGATATTTATTGATGATCGTCAACGCGCAATTCGGCACACAAGCATGATTAACCGACGCAAGATTCAACCCCACAATCCCAGCCCTCACCCCATTCATGGCAATCGGCAACTGATACAAATCCCAAATCCCCGCAAACACCCCCAAATCCTGCTTCAGCGAGCTCGGCAGAGCAAGGAATTTCCTCAGCCACTCATCCCCCATAGCCCTCACCTTCGCCCCAAGCATAGCATTTACCTCCCTCGGTGTCTGACACCCCAAAGACTCCTTTTCTGTAGTCCAAGCCACATCTTCCGCGAAGACCACACTACCAGCAGGGATAGATTCAGTGGTAACAAGGCCGATGCCAACGCCACGGCTAATGAACCGACGCACCAGCGACTCCTCATACGTGTACTTCTTCGCCTCGGGGTTATTGGAGCTGAAAACGCCGGCCACCTCAGCCATGGAGATGAATGGTGTCGCAGAAGTGACTGTCGAAAACGCGCGGTGGAAGTGCTGTGTCAGGTCCGAGAGACGGATCTCCTCACAACATGCATCACACGTGTCTGCATTCTGGACTAGCGTGGTTTTTCGTGAATCCCCTGTGTTTCTGGTCTGCATTGTGAATATTCACTGCATGATAGCTGACACTCACGTGATGGTTCGTAACCTATGCGCTTTTGGCCCATGGTGCCCGGCTAGCTATATTCTCTGTGAGGAGTGTACCAATCAGCATATGTTTGTTTTGACAAAGAGATGAACAAGCTAATCTTAGTAAAATCGCTTTATCTGGTATCAACAATGCACGCTGGAGTGAGTGAAGCGGGATGTGGATAAAGAAGCTGGTCTTCTCCAGTGGCGAACAGCGGTAGCTGATATTGAATCAAACAAGATAAGACAGAGTCCGACATACCTTGTTCTTTCAGTTCTTTGTGAATTGAGGTTAAAGGAAAGAAGGAAGCATAGTGGCTTAGGGGAGGGAGAAAGAGGAGAGCGCTTGTTCGGTATGTCTCGCCTCCAGTGTCGCCAGGGATCTAGAGAGGCAGTCGACGCTGTAGACAAGCAACAAGCAACACACAAAGAAATGACAGAGGCAGCGTGCTGGGAGGAACAAAGCTCTCAGGATTGCTAGGAAGAGAGTGTTGTTATGTTCTCGGCGCTACTGACTATGATGTCGTGCGTGCAGAAAGTGGCTAGACAAACAACCAGGAAATCCAGAAGTAGATGTGCTATTAAATCTCTATTTTAATGGTCTCTTCAATGTTTTTACATGGTATTATTGCCCATGCTGGCTAAAGCCTGCTCTTCCAATACTCGCGTCACGCCAAACTTCCACATGATACATGGTATCTCAGTAGGAAAAAAGAAATAGAAAAGAGAACGACTACCGCCCATCCTAAGCAAATGCGCCTCGGGCCTATACAAAGCCAAACAATAATAAAGAAAAAAAAAGTTAGGTCGTGTCAACGCGGAGCCGGTTTTCCGCTAGTCTAGAGGTGGACTTGAAACAGAAGGAAAGGGAAAAGAGTGAAGTGTGATGAGGGAAGAAAGGCAGATGTGAGAGTAGGTGCTCCTTCATATGCTGGCCAATTGACAGATATTTGAAGAGCCCTCTAACCAAGGACGAAAAAGCCATATCAAGAGAGCTGACGCGATAAGAGACGGTTCATAAAGCTTTTCTAAATATGTCGTTTTCAATGAAGAGACCAGATGCAGATGGAAAGAAAAGGAAAGTAAATTGGGTATAATGTCATGAAAGTAAAAGAAAAAAGACCCTGCATAATTGCAAAAATCAAGCGTTTACAGCTTGCTCCGGTGGACTAGGCGACATGCCCTGTGGAGTGTTGTTCTCTACCAGGCTATCATTGTCGCCTCTAGTCGAATGCGGCGATACGCCTTCATTAGACACCGCGCTCGGCTCACCCAAAGTTAAGACGGGCGGTACCAACGCAGCATCGGGCTCTGAGAGTTCTGGAACTAGGCCGATGGCAGCATCGCTTTTGGACTTGTCTTCGCGATATAGAACCCCGGCTGCTTCTGCTGAATTCCAGGGCTCATCACGTGCACTCCCCTTGGTCGCTATACTCCCGCTTCTCAAAGGGTGTGGGCTGCTAGGGTATAAAGACTCCGAGGCAACAGAGCCTGCACTACTGGCAAGTTCTGGATTTGATGCCCTTGGCTCATCCGATGGAGTTGGCTTTCGTAGTTTGAGGCGCTCCTCTGGCGGCATGTTCTGCCACTCAGACCCAAAAGTCACAATTGATGCCTTCTTGCCATGCACAGTAAAGTTGGTCGACTTCCGCGATAGACCTTCGCCTTGCTGTGTTTTCTGGTTATCATCTGACGTCGCCATACTGAATCCTGAATCTCGAGACTTTTTCTTTCGAGGGTAATGCAGATGATGGCCGCTGGGGGAGTCTCGAAGGGTACGATGGAGGCTGCGACGGATACGGCTTGTTCTCTCTCCCTGAAATGCGCCTTGCACATCATCTGGTTTCTGGTCGGCCTCGCTGTCATTCGTAGCTAAAGAATGTTTCCGTGCTTGGGGTGAGCTGCTGACTTCCAGCAACCCTGTTTCACGCAGCAGACGCTCTTCAGTTTCATCCATACTCCCGGGGCCAGTTATCTTAGAGGCTCGAGACCCCAGACTCGAAACATCTACCTTACTAGCGGCGCTCAGCACTGATGATTCGCGCTGTAGGCTCCTCGCTGGATGAGGCGAGCAAGACTTCGCGCGTTCCTCGGTATTATTATCAATAGATAATTGCCTACCAACACGGGAAGCTACTTCGAGGGAAGCAAAGGAGGCCGGTATACTTGGTCTCCGGCCATCGGGAGAAGCGGGTTGCGACGGCGGAGTTTTGTAGACCGAGTGAGGACCGCCAGACTCCACATGTGGGGATGGGCCATCCTCTATCGGAGATGTCACTTTGTCGGTCCCTGCTCCATCCAGATTCTCTGGTTGTGATGTAACGGTGGTCGTTGGTATTTGCACGTGCAATTTCTGCTCTGCGAAAGGCTTCTCTTCGTCCAACGCTTCACCTATGTCTCGAACAAGAACCTCCCTATAGCACTTAGTGCGCCAGATATCCTGTCTAACCCATTTGAGTTTTGCAGCCATGCGCCCTGCAGCCATGATGACATGCTCTCTCGCCCTGGAATGTACAGGCGTCAAAACTTGCAAGTGCCTGGCATTTCGCAAGAGATCATCAAGCTGTTGTTGTGCAACAAATAGTTTTTTGTTAGCCTCTCGAATCTTTTCGCGTATAAGCTGCCTGCGAGCTGTGGCCAACTCCTCAGTCACATCGGTATCAGGGTTTGGAGATGGCGGTTCTTTGTCCATAGAGAGATGTGAGCGGCTCGATTGAATCGAACCCCGACGGCTCATTCGATTCCGTTGTGCTTCATAGTTTGTGGCGATCATTCCCTTCGTTCTGACTCCGGTGGTCCGAAACGTCGCAGCATAATTTAGTTTCTCTAGCCAATCGTTCATGTCGGCTTCAGTATTTGCCAGGAATACCTCCTCTAGAGCGCTATGGCGGACGAAGATAAAGGCATGCTTGTGCTTTTTGTAGCTTAAATCCAGCAAAGCCACCGCGTCCTCAGTTGACATGATGCCGTCGGGTTTGAACTCGGTAAGAGGAGGCTTGAAAACCACCGCTCGACGACGGCCCTCCTTCTGGTGGTTTTCGTGTTGAGCCATCAAAGATTTAACCCACGCCACATCCTTGAAAAAGTAGAGTTGCGAGAATGTGAGGAGAGCACCCCATTCTTGCCATGGAGATCTAGCTCTCTTCTTTTTCGGATCCTTTCTCCAAAGTAATCCAACTTTAGCGATTTTGATATCCACCAGCCCGGGATTAGAGTCGGCCGGATTGTCAAGACTCGATGGCATATACATGTCTGGCCTAGACCGTAGAGATACAATTTGTAAAACACCAGATTTAGAAAATGCGTGGTGAAGACTATCGATATCTGCCGGCCCATCAGCTCCATCACAACAATAGGTATCCTCCAAGTTCATAACATCCTTAAGACTTGGGCGCAGAGAATCCAGCTTCCCGTCCATTATCAACATATAGGGGTCCACTGGTTCTCTAGTGGCTCGAACTAAGTGATCTGTGCTAGTGGCCTTCAACAGAGGTCGACGTGGTTTTGAAAAATGACGGCCGTTGGACATTGCGTCCTCGATATGGATGAAAGGGGTGTACACAATGTTCTCATAGAAACACTCCAGGATGTCCTCTGATATGCCTTGGCCGCTGGTATTCTTGACGTAATCTGGCTTTTGCATTTTCCTTTTGTTGTTCTTGTTAAAGACATCTGTGTGTAGGATTAAGATCGAGAAGGCGATGAAGTAGGCCTTGTCTAGATGAAAGGTAGGGGGTCAGCTTTGAACCTTTGCACAATGACATACTGACGATAACCAACGCACCTGTGGAGGCGAAGATACCCGGGTTACATTCATGATATCTATCAGCAAAGCTTTGGAGGAAGCGGTCAATTTGTTGCGTCTCTTTTGGCAACTCCACCTCCATCAGGAGTTTCCGGATAGCCATATCAATGGGGTCCCCAAAGAACGAGAACCCTCTCATGTACTTTCGCAGGGCAGTCTTATAGAAGTCATCGTTTGATTGAGCTAGGACGCTGGCAATCGCGCCCCTTGGAATGCTCTCTTCTAGCCGACCTAAATATGCCGCCGGAGCTTCACCTTCTTGTCGTTCGGGATACGTGATCAAACTAATTTTAGAAGTTGGAGTTCCCGGGCCTTTGGAGCCTGGGGATCCAGTCCGGCCAACAGGGGAGTCAGAATTCTGCCGAAATCGCTGAGGGATGTTAAAAATATCCCCGAAGCTTTTCCGCCCACTAGTAGAGGTTGATGTCCGCCCCGAGATGAGATGTGGCGATGGTTGCCCGCTATCCTGTGTATTAGCCAACGAATCTAAAGTAGACGATCTCGTACGTGACGTAGGCATTGCCCGACTCTTGTTCGACGGTGTCGAACGGGCTGAGTGAGCCGAGGTTGCAGAATCATTTCTCAGCAGGGGCGGTCGCGACGAAGCCAGGCCCACCGACGACCGCGTGGGAGATGGCAGCGGAGAGATATGGTCTTCATTTGGATCTTCCGAGATATCGGACTTCGGGGCGGAATCCCCATCACCCGCGGCAGACTTCGATATTGCCGAGCTTTGTGCGTGGCTGTTGCCCGAACTGTTGCCCGTTGGTTTTGGCGGTAAAGGAAAGAGAGGGCTGCGATGCCGTTTCAAGCGCGGCATGCGAAATCGCTTGTTGCCAGACGCCCCCTCACGAGGGGAGGATGAACGAGGATTGCCATCTCCGGCACTCCGGTCGGAACGAGAGGACTCCGAAAACCGCGCATCTGTCACTGAGGAGCGCTGAGAATCATTGTGCTGGTCACGATTGCTTCGGATCGACGTAGTTGATAAACGCCCGGGTTCTTCGCTGTTACTCTGAGAGGCCGATAGGATATGGTCCGCCGCCTGTGACGCTGTTGATCCCTGTGCAGCATGCCCAAGCTTCTCGCTCTGATCACGTTTCGGTGCGCGTTGCGCGGGCAATTCTTCTACAGAGGGTGTTTTAGAATCGGGAAAAAGTTTAAATTTGGTCTTTCGTTTGACAGGTTGATCTAGTTCATGACTCGTGGGTGCAGTGGTAATAATAGTAGGAGCTATGACAGTGTGGTAGCAATTAGCGACGTGGCCAATACAACATAGACGTGACCTTATGAAACGGATGTACTTACGAGGAGGTAGATTCGGCACCGGAGGAATATCCTCCTCCCCTTTAGCATATGATTTTGAGAGTTGCGGATCCGATGCATGACGTAGCCTCATGAAACTAAACCGGTTGAAGCGCCAATTTGAACCATCATTCACCGATAGGCCGGTATTTTGTACCTTGCCCGGTGGAGTATGCGAATTACTTCCCGCAAGCTCCGGGCCGGCAGTGTGAGTGTGGTGGTCTGCATCTGGACCGGTCAGAGTGGGTGAACGAGGAGCGGACTCCGAACGCCTCGGAGCTAGATTGGTTGTGGAGAGAGTAGGGCGAGGGATTTGCTCGCTATGGCGGGATACCGACTGAGGTTCGACCAAGCTCCGTCTCTTGGGTTCGTTGCCATCAGAGGTACCAATTCGCAGACCTTTCCAATGCATGGCGACAGAAATACCGAAAATGGGTTGTTACGTGGCCTTGCAGCGTAGCCAGGCCTAGAAACCCATCCAACAGTATCCAGTGGCGCTAGGCGATTGCCCCACGGTGTATCACAACAATAACCCTCGGCCTTTTTCGCAACGGCTATCTTATACGACGGCGTTCCCCAATAGGTGGGCGGAGGGTTTTACTTGTAAACGTCACCCTTAGTCAACATCGATTAGCATCGCGAACGGATTGTTCGGAGGTAGACAAGCAACGGAGCTGTTGACGGAGGCGGAGGTGCGGAATCGTAAAAAGGGGGCAGGGGTACGGCAAGAGTCGATCGCGAGAGGAGATTTCGGTGGCCAGTAAGATAATTTAATGAACAATGGTTGGAGTTCTTACATTGCCCAGCTCACGTTTGACCGAAATGTGGAAGCGCGGACGAATGGGGTCGATTAGGCTGCGAAGGCTGAGGAACAAGTAAAAACAAGGAAATGAGGGGATGCTGTCAAATATTATAGAGAAAATAGGAGCGGAGGAGCAGTCAATGCTCTTTAGGGTAGTAAATGAAAGATTGTACGATGGCAAGAAGCGAGGGAATCAAGGACAAAAAAAAACCCCCGAGTGCGGAGGAAGGGATAAGGTGTGAAAATGGGGCAGGGTTGTTGGCAAGGACAGGCATAGGGAAGAATAACGATGATGATGAAGATGGTGGAGTTTGATGACGGGCCGAGCAAATGCACCCCAGGCACGTGTTCTACGTTATGCACAATTTCCCTTCCTCTCCTTGGCTTTTTTTTTTTTTTTTTTTTTTTTTTTTTTTTTTTTTTTTTTTTTTTTTAACTGTGTTTGTTTTCTAATATTTTCCCCCCCATATTAAGAACTTTTTGACATACTTCAAAAAATGTGGAAATTCTATCTCAGTATTGGATCGGCCATGTTCTCAGTTTTCCGTCCGGTGGGTTGTTTCTATCTTTAACTTGAGTGTACTTAGTTTAGGCGGGATTTAATAATCCAAGGTACACATATTAATCTTGACAAACCCATACACCACTGATGTACCACGTATACTTAATAAGGCGTACCTTAAAATCCATCCTTGTACTGTAATAAAAATGACATCAGAATGAACTTCCTTACCACTCACAGGACATGTCTCTTTTCCGGTGAGATCCCATACTAGTAGGTATGAGCAAGTACAAATCAATACAATAATACCCAATGATGGTCTACCTCAACTGAGACCCGAGTCTCCTAGACAATTATCATTGTCCATCTGTAAGGACCGGAAAGATAGGTTTTGTCTTTTAACTCGAAGACCCTTGCGGTGTTCCATAGTTCCCCATCCCCACGTGACATCGGTCGTTGCCATATAAATAGCTGAATCAGTGTTTCTGTTCTTTTCCCCTTTTGTAAAATAAGCTAATAATAAAATAGACATAGAAATTAAGAAAAAAAAAATCTGCGCTCATGGTACTGATAAGTATCCCAAGAGGGAAAAATCTTCACAATCTTGAAAATGGTCCGTACGCCGTGTCAGTCAAGAGGGACATGACTGGTATGTCCTTGCTGTAAACCTACACTCTGCTTCAGATCCAGCAAATTATTCTTCGTATGATTCTAGAATCCTACAGCCGTGGAAAGAGCTGCAATAAGTCGCGAACCAGACCAACGAACGCGTCACCACAGGCCACGAATCAAAATTTGGAGCTTTGTTTCGGGTATGCCAAGGAGGGTTTCCAGACCGGGCTTCTTTTGGATGGTGGTTATATTGTGTACTGAGTATAAATATTTCATCATTCAAGGAGTACGTATGTCGCTGTTTGTCGGTTGCTGGTTGACAATATTCCCCATTCCGGACACGTTCAAGGCCAGATCTACAAGAACCATAATGCCGGGATTGGAAATGTTCATTCTTTTTGCTTCAACGAGGTTCATGAAGCGCCTCGTTGCGGTCTAGAATGGCCCAAAAACTTTATCGGAATGCGAGTGGAGCCAGTGGGGGTCCATCACTCGACCTGACAGCTGATTTGGCCTGCAGCAGTGCAACGGTTGATTAATTTCTCGTCTTTCATATAATCATACACTGTAACTACTAGTAGTAGCTCATCCTACACAAACAGAGTACGTACGGATACTGTGCCAGGATCGAAGGGTTCGTGTTGCAAAGGGTGGTCCCTTGTCCCCTCTACTACCCCTAGTAAGGGTGGTCTCCTTAAATCGCTCCTTGCGCTTTTCTGACTCCAGGCCCCGTAAACCAAGTAACTTCCCATTCGGAGGAAGCGAGAACACCTTCAATTGTTACCTTGACTTTATCCTAGATAGGGCCTTCTGTTTCTTCAAGTCAAGTGCTTCCCGAACCAAACCCCGGGATTTCGACCACAGTTCGGCTATCGGTTGCATGTCAACTTGACTACTTCGCTCTGTGTTAGCATTGTAATGCTCTGCAAGACCCGGCATATGCTGACATTGTAATATCATATCGCGGATAATGACTCCTCATTTTGTCAAAAAGTTAAGCCTCGGTGCGGAAAACGGGGTTAAGATCGGTAGATTTGTCCAAATGTGCGACAGTAGTATGATTACGATCGGACCTGGGATTAGTACCGGGATTTTTCAACGAAAATCTGCTCTATGAGTAGCTATGGCAAGAATATTTCCCCTTTTTTATAAAGAATTCGATATGGCATGTATCTTGTTACTAGGGGGTATCCGGCAGCCCGGCAGAAGATATTTCTGCCTGAGGCACTGTACCATGTCAGCCTCAGGCACCAGCCGCGGTCCATGGCTCATCATCCATCGTTCTCATGTCACTTCACTCCATGCCTCTTCCATCCTTCTTTCCCAGTCGCTATCTGGTACCGTGCAATTGAAATTCATCTAAAAAGCTGACAATGAGGATTTTGGCATAGCTTTTCTGCGATTTTACTACCCCCGAGATGCGCTACCTTTTCCTCATCGTCCTGGTGGCTTTTGCCGTTCTGACAACTGCCGTCCCCGCAGGCTCCAGTATCACTCCGCCGCCGCCAATTGAGCCCGTCCAGCTACTATCCCCACAGTCGTCTGATCTCAGACGGCCATGGACCCGAGTAAGGGACTGGATAATTGAGACGATATGGGGTCTTCCAACGCCAACCTCTGATCGGCTCCCTTTCAAAGACCTTTCGCGCGACCAATCTGCCCCGTCTCGGGTTCAGGCGCGGTATGGCAGCGATGTGGTTTTGCGAATCCGTTTGCGCGATGACAAAGAAGCGGAAGCATTGGAGCAAGCGACAGAGATTCTCTTTCTGGATGTCTGGGCTTCCGCCTCCGATTTTGTGGACGTCCGACTGGCCGAAGAAGTCGTAAGTCTCAATTACCTTCTCTGGTCTCCCATGAGAGCCGGTCCCTTCCTAACGTTCTCCCCATAGATTCCTTCGTTATTAGGCCTACTGCCAGATTCCCTTCGCACCGCTTATACCCCTCTCATTGACAACCTACCGGAGCTGATATATACAACCTATCCAACTCGACGACCCATAGGACTAGAGGGCCAGCCGGGATTCCGGCCTTCCATCCGACAGTCGGCTCAGCTCGGGGACCTCTTTTTCCAAGATTATCAACCGCTTTCCGTCATTGTCCCATGGATGCGCCTGATGGCCTCTATGTTCCCATCCCATGTTCGCATGATCAACGTTGGAATTTCATACGAAGGTCGAGAGATCCCGGCACTCCGACTTAGCGCTGGAAGGAACAGAGCACAGTCAGCCCCTCGTCGGACCATTGTCATGGTCGGGGGCAGTCACGCGCGAGAATGGATCAGCACCTCCACAGTGACATACGTCGCTTCAAATCTGATCACCAACTTCGGCAAATCCAACGCCGTAACCCGCCTACTGGAAGACTTTGACGTCGTCCTCGTACCAACCATCAACCCAGACGGATACGTCTACACCTGGGAAGTCGACCGCCTATGGCGCAAAAACAGACAACGTACCAGCCTCCGCTTCTGCCCGGGAATCGATTTAGATCGATCGTGGAGTTTCGAATGGGACGGCGAGAGGACCCGCTCCAACCCCTGCTCCGAGAATTACGCAGGTGACGAACCATTCGAAGGATTGGAAGCTGCGCAATTCGCGCAATGGGCCCTCAACGAGACCCAAATCAACAACGCCGAAATAGTAGGCTTCCTCGACCTCCACTCTTACTCCCAACAAGTCCTCTACCCCTTCTCATTTTCCTGTTCGTCTGTCCCGCCCACCCTCGAAACCCTCGAAGAGCTGGGCATGGGATTCGCCAAAGTCATCCGCCAGACCACACACGAGATCTACGACGTCACCTCCGCCTGCGAAGGAACCGTCACAGCTACGGACAAAGCCTCCGCAAAGACCTTCTTCCCCATCAGCGGGGCCTCGGGCGGCAGCGCCCTAGACTGGTTCTACCACCAACTCCACGCCAGCTTCGCATACCAAATCAAGCTGCGCGACCGCGGAAGCTACGGCTTCCTCATCCCCTCCGAGTATATCGTGCCCACGGGAAAGGAAATCTACAATGTCCTCCTGAAACTGGGCGAATTCCTCGTCAAAGAAACCGCCTCCCCAACCGCCAAAGCAGACATAAACTGGGACGCTGACCTCCTGGTCCACGATGACTCTAAAGCAAGCTCCGTGGAGAGTATCTCTGACTCTCTCCCCGAAGTTAACATCGATTCAACATCAACTGTAAAATCCACCCCAATTCCCTTCCCAGAAGATACTCTGGACAATGAATGGGTGCCGTTCGAACTGGATGAGGAAGAAGGCGAGGAAGACCAGAATTGGGAGCTCCGACGACGACGACGGAGGTAGAAAGTATATTTTTGCCTTAGGTATTGTTCTGCACAGAACTGATATTGCGCTGCTGATTTGTTACTTTGATTATTATTATTAGTGCCTTTTCTTTTCATTTTTCGTTTCTATCTTGCATACTAATTGTGGATATTTGAGACGAGCTTATGATTAATGAACGAAGACTTTTAGAGTGTTGGGAGATTTACAGAAACTATATAGTGCTTTAGTTATATGCCAAATGGACCGATTATATTTACGAAGATTCTGTAGGGCAGCCATAGTAGCCAGTGAAACAGTCACTACAACATCAACTAGACAAAGCAAGCCTACTATAATACTAGCCAACCTTACTGTAAATTTTGGTATATGATCGGAGTCTTC